AAGCTGGTTGTTTCCAGAACACATTCTTTCTATTTTAAATGTAAAATTGGAAAATGAAGAATAGCTAAAATATTCTTATAAGGTTATTTATTTTTCTTTCATTCTATCTTAGTTTTCTTTTATTTTTTTATTGGTATTACCTGCAAACTTGCTTTGTAGAGGAATGTCAGCATTTACTTTGAGCTGCTCCTTTTTTTTGCAACAAAGTTTTTTTTTTTTTAAGTGTCTCGTACGCCTGTTCTAGTTTGAGGTCAGATACTTTACGCTTTGTGTTGCAGACAAAGCCTGTTGTTAGTTTGACCTCTTTCCTGGCACATGTCACATCTGCATAGTGTTTGATGATTTCCACTCGTGTGGCTCATCTTCAGTTAACTTACTTTTTATATTTTTCTTTCTTCGGGCTCAGATTTATTATTTTTCCAGTCTGTCAAATTTTTTGGTTTGGACTTTAGATTCTTTGTTCAGTGTTTTTTTTAGGTTCAATGAAAACAAAAACCAAACAAAAGAACCCTTTTATTTTTTTGTTTTCTACATGTTCGTCTTGAACCTGTTTTTCATAGAATATAAAAAAGCTTCCTGGAAGTGGAGCCATCTGGGGATTAAGTGGTGCTCAGGAGGTAGAGGAACACCCTTTTGAGCAACGAAGGTATTACCTACCTAGACAGGTGTGATTGGGAAAAGTGGCGTCCACAATCTGAACAAGTGTCATGTCTCTCTGTCAGACTTCAGTGCTACATATCAGATATCCATGGCAAACATATTCAAGAGTAAGGTGGTTCATACCACGCCATTTTGGGCCAAAGGATTACATCCTCTGTATGTGTTTTGTGGATCCAGAGAAGGCTTAGAACTTTGTTACCCATGGTGCCTTGTGAGGGTTGCCGTGGGAGTGAGGGCCATCTGCTTGATGTCGAGGGACAATCTTGTGTGTCCGAAGGCAGAGCTGTGTGTACATTTTTTGGCACAAAGCTGAGCCTCCTTTCAATGAGGATTACCCATCGTATATGATCCTGTTTGTGTTCATGGACAGAATTTCAAGGTGTATTTATGGAGTCGAGGGTGTGTGTTTTGGGAACCTCAGGGTCTCTCATCTTTGCTTATGGTGGATGTGGTTACTATAGCTTTCTCCAAGTGAATCAAAACCTGTTACTGCAAAACACATGTGAACATCTGGCTATCGGTTAGATGGATTCGGGGTTGGAGTAGCAAATCTAAACACAGGAAGCAGGTGCTGTGCTCTGAGCAAGTGGAAAACAGAGAGAGTTTAATCATATCATTTGCTGTGTTTCTGATTCTGATTTTGATTCTGATTCTGATTCAGACAGAATGATCTAAGCTACTATGCTGAATGATTTTTGAGAAGTTGCCCGAGACTTTACGCTTAATGAAAGCGATGCTGTGTAGCTGCTTATTAGTTTGTTTAGTCTACCGCATCCCAGAATGCGGACGGCGTTTGGCTCAAGCTCGCAGCGTGCATGTCAGATCGAGGTCGCTTCACATTCACGCCATAAAGGAACCCCTCAAGAGTTTGTTTGGTACTGCACCTCCTACAAATGGGATCAGTTTATAAACAGGTTATATTGGTAGCTGTGTTCACATCTACAGAAATGAACTGCAACAAGGGATTGGGGGAAACAATGGAAGACTAAGCGCTATCATCTTTTCAAGAGGACTAGCAAAAATAAAATAAAATTGTTTTTTCACCTCAAATCAAAAGTTGGATTTCTCTTTTGTTATGAAATTTCGTTATTGCAATAAAAGAGGAATGCAGTTTAGTGAAATACTGAGGTTGGAGGAGGGTGAATAAATGAGGCCCTATTAATTGTTCAAACTCACTATTACTGATCACATGCTAGGCACTGCAGCTTTTCTTTTGCTCTTACCTCATTTGACGTAAAGAGTCGGGGAGATCCAGATGTGACTCTAAATTGCATGAGCGACCTTTCAGAGCCCCACTACAGTTTGTGTGTTTCCGGCTTGGCTTCGCTGAGCAAAGCTGCAGTGAAAGGAGATGGCAGCAGCCAAGAGACTTTGGCAGGCTGTTGCTCTTGAAATGAGGACACATCAGTGTCTCCCACCACGGTCCCCGTCAGAGCGGACCCTGGATGAGCTGGAGAAGCAAGTGGGCGTACCGTGTGTGTTGCATGTTTATTTACACAGGTGGAGGAGTCCAGTTGGACAAGATGACACCTGACTTTTCTTTTACACACACCCACATGTCAGGTTCGTTCCTTCCTCATCTGAACAAACTGAAATGTTTAATCTACTCTGTAAAAAAAAAAAAAAAAAATTAAAATAAAAAAGTCACATTTGTGGCAAGTAGAACAAAATAAATTGTGCTATTTTATTATATGCCATGAGGGTTTAAGAACATTTTTTACTAGAACAGTGTGAAAGAAGGGAAAACACAACTGAATTTTGTTCAGAATATAGCAAATCCAACCTCATGGTTGGACATTTCACATGCATCCAACTGGGACAACTCTGATAGCAGCGTGTGAAACAATGTTTTCAAAATGTGACTGAAACTTGAAAACATGTCCTCATTCTCTCAGTGGTAAACTATTCATGAGTGATTTGACTTTCCTGTGAAGGAAACTGCTTTCATCTTGAGCTGGTCATCATTTAAAAATGTGTTTTTCAGTAACAGGAATTTATGGCTGTCCACCTGTCAGGCAGGAAGAACATCTTAATATGAGAAGCATCCAAGAGGACCAGGCTAAATCTGCAGAGATCCCCAGATCAAGTGTGAGAATATGATAACGAGCCAATTTTATGTGCAGAAAAGAAACTAAAAAAACAACAAATGAACGCTGACATTGATGTTGACAGATGCTCTCCATCTAAAGACAAATAGCACTTAAGTATTAAAAAAGCAGACATACTAAAATATGTGATCTTACTTTTATTTATTTATTTATTTGTTATTTATTTATTTATTTATTTATTTATTTATTTATTTATTTATTGCGGTTTTAGCATAGGAATTTTTGTAGCCCTTTTCCTATATCACACAAATCTCTTAAACTTCAACTTACATAAATGTACTTTTAAAAAAGAGATCATTGCCTAGCCTTTGGGGTAAAACACAGAGGTCAGGGTTTCCCCCCAGTGCACTATAAGCCTGGCGGGCCACCAGGCTTTACTTCTGCCCCCACTAGGCTAAGCACTGCTTATTTATTTAAGTCTCTTTAAAATGTTTGCATTTTTTAAGACTTTATAGTTGGTGTTCAGGTGTTAATCTTCCAATCTTTGAATAATACATCATTATCAAGTGATATTTTAAAATTTCCTGCAATTTAAAATAATAATAATAATAATAATAACTGAATAACACAATGGGCTGCTGGATAAATGACTACCCTAGCACCCACCGACAGGGCTTAGCAAGAGGTGGTGACATATTTCTGGAAAACCATAAGATAAATTTTTTGTGAATAGAAAAAGTAAATATGTTTTATTATTATTATTATTATTATTATTATTATTATTATTATTATTATTATTATTATTATTATTATTATTATTCACAGTCATTTTTATGTCTCATAACACAACAGATCAAACACAGCAGAGATGAGGCACTGCGCTGTCTAAAATAACAGCCAAAACGCCACAATGCTTCATATGAAAGACGGAACTTGCTGCTGTCACATTTTTCACACGTAGAGTGCAGCCTCGGGTTTTCTCAGAGACTGTCAGAAGATATGAATGATCACTGAACGCAGGTGCAAAGCGAAAGAAATTCTTTCAGGCGTCTAACGCGTGATTGCTGTTGAGCGTGATGCATTTAAGTCTCGCATATTCCCCTCTGCTTTGATTGTCAGCGTGACGGCGGTGCATGACTGCCACCGTGTGGACAGAAGTCAAACAGCTCCACTTGGAACAACTTCGATCTGATAAGAAGTAAATAATCCATAGATGTCTTAAATTATTGGTTTGCAGTCGTTAAAGTCTGCAATCAATAATTTATCAAAGTTTTACCACATTCAGTCATATTCTGAATTTGAATTCATGCTCTCTATATCATAAGATTTTTTATTTTATTATTTTTTTTTCTGCACATCCAGCTGAAGGAGAGCCAGTGAAGCGTGACAGGAATTGATTTTGCTGTATACATATTTGCATTTCAACAGAACACTTGTGCATGAATGCCAGAAAGGGCATTCGGCACAGAAGGTTCCTGTGAGTCACCGAAGCAATACATCATGCTCCCAGCCTTCATTCAGCCCACAGCTTGCTATATGCAAGCAGCAACATGACAAATCTTCCTGGATCTCTTGAGTTAAAGACGGGCTGACATATGCATATGAATATGGAAGTATTCAGAAAATCAGTGGGATTCCATTACATGGCACACTAAATAACACGTAAACAAACAACATTGTGCTGCTCTCATATTTCACATTTTGTCACATTCCAAACACAAACTTCAGTATATTTTGATTGGATATTTTTTTCAGTATCCCCTAATAGTGAAGTGAAAGGACTGTGGTTTTTATTTATTTCTATACTTAACAAATTTGTGTGGAATACTTTTTTTTTTTTTTTGCATTTTTTCTGACTCAGAGAAACATGGTGGTGGCAGCATCATATTTTTAGGCTCAGAGTTTGGACAATACTGGGAGGTAAATAAAATGTATGGGAAATTTTTTCAGATATTTGTTTTAAAAACTTTTTTTTAAAATCCACATATCCTCTTCCTTTATTTAATTAGTTGCACAAGATTTTAGACTTTGACTGGATGGTAAGAAAATCCTGAATCTGTTTCTACCCACTTTACATTTTAATGTAAAGTGGGTAATGTGCCAACTAATCACAATGAATATTTCAACCATCATCTTAAATAGCTTCAGTGGGTAAAATAGTTTTTTGTTTGTTTGTTTGTTTGTTTGTTTTTTTTTGCAATTTGTGCAGCAGGGAAGCAGGTGGCTAATAAAGATGTGAGTTTTCGGAGCGTCTTTTGCTGTGAAAGCTCCCATCAGAGAGCTTGACCCAAAAACCCGTGAAGTTCTGACGACGCTGCGTGTCATGTGCACGGCATCTTACGCACGACGTTGGGAGTTCCCCTTTCCTCCAACGTGAAAACGCCCCTCTTCTGTCCTTCCAGCTCTCCTCCTGATTGTTAGCCATCGCTGCCGGCTTGTGCCTGTCTGCTGTCCCAGCCTGCAGCGCTGCATCTCCCCGCGGCAGAGAGAGAGGCAGACACAGATAGAGAGAGAGGGAGAGAGGAAGGCGCTCTCCGGGGCGGTGGCGGCGGTGTCCTGCAACCTCAATGACCAGAACCTTGACATCCGAAGCTGACAGGGCAGGTAGGCAGCTTTTAATTGCATTGTTAAGGTGCGGGCATGCTGCGCTAGACCGGTTATCGCGAAGTGACACTTCTGCAGAAGCAGAAACCGGTGGGGGGGAAGAAGAGGAGGGATCGCATCTCACGCCTGTGCTGAGCTTTGCTGCTGAAACGGGCGTTTTTTTCTTCTTCTTTTTTTGTTTTTTAATTCCGTGCAAATGGATCGCTTTTGTGGCTAGAGGTCCAAGGGCGGATGTGGAGGGTGTTACCACGCAGCGTTAACGCGGCCAATATGGTCGGCAGGCTGGTTTTAATGAGCAGCACAGAATGAGCGGATCCTTTATTTCACGCTTATCAGGGCCCAGTAGGAAGCAGGTGCACCTTTATCGCTTTCTAAATCTATGAACGCATGGAGGGAAAAAAAAAACAACAACAAAAAACGATCTGCATTTCCCCAGACCTATTTCTGAGCACGTTTTATGCTTAAGGAATTGGTTGTTGTTGTTTTTCTTCCACAACCCCTGTATGGAGCCAAAGGCTAACAGCTGATGCTTAGGATAATGAGCTAATTGAAGAGGGGCTGTACTGGCGCGGGTGTGGCACAGGGGGCAGGCATGGGCGCCTCGGACTCCTCTGGGTGTGAACTGCTGCCTTCTGAAAAGGTGGTCATTTTGAGAAAGCCTCTTAAACTTGCGGAGTTAGTTTTTCTTTTTTTAAAGAAACTGCTGGTGCGTGTGTGCTGAAGCGGGAAAGAATCGAGGCAAGCTGACCATGCATAATCCAATTTATCAGATCGTTTTTCAGGGAAAACCAGAAGACAATGAAGATGACAAATTAGCTGCTTAATAAGCCTGAGCAAGAGAGTGCTCCACTTTAATCTAATCAAAGTGGGGTTTTTTTTAGTAGTCATGTTAGCAAAATTTAACAAAAAAAAAAAAATGTTTGAGAATTACATAAGGGGCTTGATTCTGCAAGAAGGACTAACTAAACCAAGAATTTCAGACTTGACTTATCTTATTTAACCAGGGTTGAAAGTTAGCCCACAAGTTCAAATCAGTTAAATGATCAATATTGTTTCCTAGTATACTAGTGGGTGGTTGTTATGGTAATAATATCAGTTCTCCAGGCTTAAGTGTAGTGATTAAAATGGATCTACAGCAATTAAATAATTTTTTTAGGTGCGTTAGAAGGCATCTACACTTTCTTGATTATTTTTTTTTTCATAAACTTCATTTAAGACTTGAACAAAAGTTTGGAAAAATGAGTTGTGGACATCTCTGATGTAAGAAAAAAAAACACGATCTAAAAACTTTAATACTTTACAACGTATTAAAAAACGTTGGCCGACGTAGGTGATCTGGGATAATCTACATTTTCTTTATAACCTTTTAAATATACTTGACCTAAAATTACAAAAAGGCCTCGTTTAACAAAAATGCTCCGAAGCAATGTTCAATAAATTATCAAACTTTTTTTGTGGTTAGAACAGAGGTCACTTGTAACGGCATGCTGCCCAAAAGTCCTGTTTGTTACTGTAGAATATAAGGCTTTCATTTGACAGCATTCTACTTTCCTCTTCAAAGTAAACAAATATGTTTAAACCTCTAACTGAAATCTAAAGTTATTTCTGGTTTCTGGTGGAAATCTTGACCAAACGTCAACAAGAAAAGAACGTTCTCACTCAGCTGATTTGTTTTGGTGAAGAGGTGCATTCGTTTTCTACTACGTATCAGGAGAATAAAACACAGTTTTGTCAAAATTTTAAGAGTAAGGATGGAAAAAAAAAAGATAAGCTGGGTATATTTCCCACTTAAGATTGTAAATTCTTTAAGGCTGGAATAGAGAGTCAAAATCTGTTTTTAGGAGACAGTACTAGTCTCTTAAATGGCAGACACAGATTGAGATGGTAACATAACCAATCATTAAATATCTCTCTCATGTACCAAGTATTATTTATCGGATCAGTTTTATTGTGGAATGTGAATATTTGTCATTATCTTAACAGATAGCGCATTAAGCTGCATTCTAGAAAGGTACGGCAGCAAAGTATGTCTCATTAAATAACCTGCAGTAGCAGAGGACGTTCGGTTTGGGCATCCAGCAGTTTGTGTTTCCACATTTACTGCACAAACAAGTGGACTTGTCGGTTCTCATCACTAATGCCCCCTTTTGTTCATTCTCCTCTAAGTCAAACAGACTGCGAGCCCTCGGGATCTGGCTCCTTTGCAGCCTCGCCACAGGCCACACAATCTCCCAGACTCCCGAGTTTGTTGAGGCAGTCAGAAAAAAGGAGGAGGCGGCGGGTGGAGGTGGAGGTGGTGGGGGGGCAAATTAGATCTGAAACCCATCCATCTGTCCATCTATGCCTCTGAACTCTCTGTGCATCCTCCCATCTTGTTTTTCCTTTCACCTGCTCCACTTTTAACCTCCGCGATGTCCGTTACGAAGGTGCGGACGGAGTGGTGCTCCTTTCTCGAAACCCTTTGCCAGTTTCGACGGAAAAGCTCTGTGTCTTTTAGTGGCATGCATTCTTTTAACTACTTAGTCAAACTTAGTCAGATAGTTATATAGTAGATGTACGCGGGCAGTGATGCTCTTCAATTTTCCAGGCAAGGTAGGGTGCAATCTATGTTCCAGCCAATATATTCTCAGAAGGCAGCTTTGTTTTGCATAATGATTCAGCGAGCATGCTTGTTTAAGGTAAGGCTACTTTAATACAGTTCCCCCCTCAAGGCCTTTGTGGAGGCATTTTATGATTGATTTGTAAAACCTCGTTCAAGCAGAGAGCCTATCTGGAGCTCTCCACTGGATAAACTCAAATTACTTTCAAGTCAGAGGAGCTTTCAAAGGCATATCAAAGATAACAGCATGCAATAAACTGTCAGTTGTGCATTATGACTGCAAAAGATGCACAAATTACCATTTCCAAAGTTATGAATGGCAACATGGGGTTGACACGGGGATATTTACATGGCCAATCACATGCTATCGCAAAGATGAGACACTCGGGTTTTTAACACCTGCAGTAATGGATTTTTAAAAAAATTTTTCTGAAGAATATCAACGTCATTGCTGATACCCATCATAGCGAATGGAAGTAAAAGTAATGGCTTTCAGTGCGTATGAGAAGATACGAGTTGACTGTGTCGCAGACATGCTGTGTTCCTAAAATTAGTGTTGCCGGATTTACATTTTTAGAGAAAAGCAAAGTTGATTTTGTAAGATTAGAGGTTTTATTTTCAGGTCCCGCAATGCGAAACTATCCGTCTTTGAAATCCTGTAAGATATGAAAAAAAAAGTCTTTATTAAGCTCCTACTTGTGGAAAATTCTGCTGACAGTTGTGACGAAATTAAGTGGAGAAAAAATATATATATTTGGAACTACGGTAGATTCACGGTAGATTACTCAGGTAATCGTTGCACGTTGATCTGCGTCCGTTCAGACTCTGATGCCTTCTTACCGCTCGTATACTTCAGAAAGTATGATTCCACTCCCATCGACAGTCACATTATCAATGGACACCAGTGACCCAGTTCCACTGGCAGCATGCCCTCTGCATCCCACTGCTCCCTGTTTAACAGATAAGGTGAACCTTAGCTGATGGATTCTGTAGAGCCTTTTTCTTTTCCATCCTCTTCTGTCCTAACTGCTCTGATGCAAGCCGGAAATGGCTTTATCTCTTCAAAGAATCTTGTTTCACATCTGAGAAAGTTTAGACATCTTCAAACAAAATCTCATGTTTCCTTTGTAAAAAAAAAAAAAAAAAAAAAAAACCTCTTCCAGTAAGAATGCCTTTAACTCATCTAGTTGTTGTGGAGAGAACTTCTTTTTAATAATGGGATAATTTCCTTTCAGCTGTACGAAGGCACCTTCCAAGTCTTTTGAAGCTCAATGATTATCTTATTTTAAAGAATTGGCCACTGCTGAGTCGAATAATTGAATTATCTCTTCAAGTTCGCCATCAAATAACACTTATTAATTTTTCAATTTTTTTATTGTATTGTACAAGAAAAGCAGATATCTGCCACTCGATACAGATCACGTCATTTTGTTCCATTTGCACATGTAGATGCATAAATATCTAGTAGTTCAGTTTTGCTCTCATCTGACCAAAGCAAAGACTGAATAACAAATTTTTCAGATTTCATGTCTTAATGACCGAATATTTGAAGCAATTTTTTTGTAATCTAGTTTACTGTTACAAAATGCAGCTGGAGTTAAAATCAAAAGTTTTTCTCCTTGGTCCCCGACTTTGTGGTGCTTCTTGTTTTAGGTAGGTCAGGATTACCAAACATTTTTCTATTTTCTAAATTTGAGAGAGGGTATTTTTGTGGTTAATTTTTAACATCCATCGACACATTAGTTTAAGTATTTGATAGAATTCCCTTTTAAACTGTGTGATTCCACTGAATTATCATTTTTTATATTCTCCCTCAAGTTTCTTACAATAGTTTGCTGTAATTTTGTCCCTGTTCCCAGACGAAACTGGTGCAACAGGTCAGGTTTGCAGGTTGCTTTGCTCACACTCCATTTATACTCTACCCTGGATCGGAGCTTTGTGTCGACCGCTCCACAAGATTTACTTTCTTGTGCTGAAGCAATTTGGTGGCTGTATACTCATACTCTAGTTGGACAACCTGTTTGCATCACAACTTTAACCTCTCGGCTGATTAGTTCATTTTGGTGTGCTTCCTGAGCTGCTGGCCTTCAAATTCAAAATCTCAAATTGCCTAAAATGCTGTGAATGAATCTATTAGAATCCAATAAAGGAACATTATTTAAACTTTTTCAAAAATGTTTACAGGCATAGCAATGTCAGTTTATGCAAATTAAGGTAATGACGAAAAAAACTCAAAAAATCTTTCTTCCATCGTCTAGGCTTTTATAAAACTGAAATAATTTTGCTAATCCTAACTGGAATCAGGGGAAACAGTCCTAAAATAATGGCATGACCATTATTAGTGACAGACGCTTCATGTTTAGTGAATTTAGTTTAAATGGGTTTATTGTTCATCTCATTT